TCTAAGAGAAGGATAATTCAAAACCGTATGCGGCCCTGGTGGAGGATTATAGAATTCGTAACGAATTTATGATTCGTATTATTTCTCGACTGCGGTCAACGAGTTAATTTCACGCGAAAAAAAAATGACTTGCCTCTCTTCAAAATTAATTTTAGAAAACTTAACATTTTGCAAAACACAAACACCCACACTGACGCTGGAGGCGGACCTGTATCAGTTACCGGAACGAAAAAGCTAAGAAGAGAGTCACAACAGAAGGTGACAATATTAGCCAGATACAAAGCTGAAATCAGAAAATACCCAATGAGTATCGAAGTTAATAATAATGGCTTGAGAGAATATTTATATAGCCGGATTAGTTTCATCTTGTTGCTACTGCAACAGTTGTTGCTAGGTACGAATGCAATTTACTTAATTTATCCAACGTCGGTCGTTCGAAGAAACGGTTAACAACCAAGAAGTTGTGGGCTATGAAAGGTAAGGTTCGACTACCCGCCTCTCCCCCGAACCCGTCAGCACTTCCCTGACATCACAACTTGCTTGCCAACGCGGCAGTCAGGTAGCGTTTCTCCACTCACCTGTCGGGTGCGTTCAGCTCTGTCCCACGATGAGTCATGTCCTCGGTAAACAGAAGACACGAGGTTGGGCCAGGTAAAAATCGTGCAGTGAAGGCAGCAAGCAATAATAGAAAGAAAAAGAAAACTACAGTCGGGGTAGTATTTACTGATCTATATAAACCCGCGACCGCGGAAACGCTAGCAATAGCAGTCGGCGATGTTTGTTTTCACAATCCGATACCAGAAGCGAAAATCTCGATTTTGAACGAGCATTTTACATACAGAAATTTGTCTATCTGTAACCTTAGTGCTATACAAAGGTCAAATCGAAAATCAAATATTTATCGATACTTAGTGACTTGGGTATTATTATCTTCAAGAGAAGATGAATGAGTGAAACAAACCAGAGGTCGAGAGCAGCTACATGCTCCCCACTTCTCGGCCGTACCAACAAGATCCAAAGAAATATATATATATGAGGAAATATAGTTCTAAGGTGTGTTACATTTATCGGATAAAGTGCTTACTATCAGGGATAGAGCGTATGTAAATATGAAAGTGAACATTGAAGTCAACACTCAGGGGCGACAGCCTGTTTCATACTAGACGCAATCGTCAGGCCTGATGATGACAACTAGCATGAAACAGTCTGTCGCCTCTAAGTTCTGACTTCAATGTTCATTTATATATATATATATATATATATATATATATTTATATATATTGATTGATTGATTGATTGATTGATTGGTCATTGCAGTTTATGTAACAGCGTTTCCCCTATCGACTTGAACCTTTTAGAACTTTTTATTCTACATTCAACACCATCACTTGATAAGAAACTACAAATGTTGAAATAAAATGGCTATTTTTTTGTAGTGATTTTATAACATATTTATGTTCTAATTTTCGAATAAATGCTACACACACACACACACACATATATATATATATATATATATATATATATATATATATATATATATATATATATATATATATATTCTACCACTAAGTCGTTGGCGTGCGGCTGGGATGAAGTTGAATTTAAGCGTATTTATTTTTAGATAAACACACAGTGATTGAGAGAATTCGATTCGACTTACCAAAAAGTCTTGCATTATTAGCAGTAATAGTCACTGTTTACAAATACACACTTCCTCCCCAGAGAGCTCAACCGAAATAAATTTTTCGGGAGCATATATATTGTCATCCACAGACAGATTGTTTCGCTGTATCACAGCTCATCTGTTTGGCTAGACGTCCGGTTGCCTCTAGCTAGGATCGAAACCCGACTGAATTGGCGTCAGTCGGGGATTCTACCATTATATATGTATGTATGCGTGTGTGCGTGCATGTGTGTGCATGTATAAAGACAAAAGAAAACTTAGCTTAGCTAATGCGTTTCGTCCTCTGTTGGACTTTATCAAGGCAAATCAGAAGATGAAACACATATGCATATTGTCATTTATATAGATACATTATTATTTTAGTAATATCTGAAGTTTTACATATATATATACGCGTATCGATATCCACAACAAATTATGTTTGAAGTAATAAAAACATGGACTAAAAAATAAAAATAAAATCCATTAAGTCTTTCGAAATTGCTTTGTTTACGTTTAGAATACGAAACTGAGCAGATATGCGTTCCGAGAAAAATCTGAAAAGGTGAGAAGTGTGCTTTAAAGGTGAAATAGAATCTTGTTCTATCGCGAAGATCTTCGTAGCCGAGTAGTAAAGACATGCCGGATCAGATGGTGGTTCCTCCCGCAAAAGGGAATGAGGTCCGGATACTACCCGGGTTTTTTTGTATTTTTTTTTTTTGATTATGCAGGCCGGTAGTTGAAATAAATACGGTTTATAATAAACTGGGCGTCTACTCAAATACGGATAAAAAAAAAAAAAACGTTTGAAGAAATAATATATTTATATATATGTATATGTGTGTGTGTGTGCAAAATGTGTGTATATATATATATATATATATATATATATATATATATATATATATGGACTCTCCCGTCGGTTTCGACGTATGAGGCTCCGACAACTTTGTTTATTTAACCTTGTGTGTGAGTCGCAAATGACTTTTCAGTCCCGCTAGTGATTTGAAGTCCACAGATTGTGCAAGAGTGTGGGTTGTTGGAGTATATGGCTGGAACAGCAGCAGATATTTTATTCCTTTCCCTAGTTTGACGAAGCTTGACAATGTTTGATGCTGCCTTGTTCTTGATATATATATATATATATATATAGATATGCAATTCTTATATATATTATTTATCTATTATATATGCGCGGTACTTATTGGAAAGTGCTCAATGTCAGTGATAGAGTTAACATATATAATTGGATTGATCTGTTTGTCTGTCGATCGCAGAGATCGTGAAACCCAGCGTCACAAACTCCCATCAATCCAACTATATATATATATATATATATATATATATATATATATATATGATAATAAAAGAATTATTGGTCAGAGATGAATTAGACCAGGAAACATTTTTTATTAAAAAAGTGTTTAATACACGTACAAAGGAAATAAAATTCAACATGCATAGTTAAAAAGGGGAGATCAGCCAATCACGCTTATATATATATATATATATATATATATATATATATATATATATATATATATATATAATGTATGTATGATAAAAATAAAGAACAAATAGGAAGCGTATATCAATCTAACATGTTTCAATTTTATTAAAGCTACTTACTTCTGAGATTGAGAGAAAACAAAGGCAGAATATATTTGATATTTTCAATTATGCTTCGGTCAGTTCTCATTGGTCAGAGACATGTCACGTGCATTAAAAACCGTAGATAATTCTATGTGTATCTAGGTTTGTGAAGATCCTTACATTTCTAAGTGGACATCGGATGGTCATGCGTATTTGCAACTGTGTATTTGTGTCTGTCCAATGGAAGTTCTATCTTTACTTTTGTACAGTCAACCCGCGCAGCCTGAGGTCACAAGGTTCTAATTTACGGCTGACCTCTTTAAGAATGTATTCTTTGTATAAGATAGATATAAGTTTATGTGTTTATAAATATGTTTATAGTTAGTAATAATGTGTTTAGTTGGTAATATATGTGTTTATAATTGGTAATAATGTTATCATTAATTTTTCAATGTATTTACTCCTTAAAGAATTATGTTCTCTTTTAATTAAGGTGGAATTAGTGAAATCCAGATTATGTCCAGCATCGTTTCAATGCAAAAAAAAAGAGAGTTAGATCGTTTCTCCAAACGCAAGTCTCTCTCGTGTTCGTAGATGTGAGCTTTTAGATCATCTAATGTCTCTCCACATAAACATTTTTGCATTGATTCAAATTTTCGCTTATACAATTTAACTATATTTTAAAATTATATTGAGGTTTTCAAAACATGATTAGGCCGCTTAACCTATCTCGCGGTTTCAAGCGATGGAGGCATCCTCAGCTGATCGCCTAATGTCTATTCCTAAAAAATCGAACGAAACGCGAAATATTTTTGCCCTTCCTGCCTTTTAAAGGAGTGCTTTGCCGGGATTTTTTTTCTGTTTTGTCATTTAAATCTGTTACGAATTAAACAAAATGAACCCAGATAGATAGATAGATACTTTTGCCCTCCATCATCATGGCTGATGCTAACCTCCAACAGAGCAACTTTTGACGTTTATTCACCTTCTTGGTTTCCAGTTCTGTGAGACTTTTCTTTGCACTGTTTATTATTTGACATAAAAATTTTTATCTGTTAGTTAATTATATTTCTTTTTGTTTGTTTGTATGCTGCTAGGAAAGTTGCTTTTTATTTTGTCATTTAAAAAAAAGACCAGAAAAAAAAAAAAAAAAGAAGCTTTTTTATTTATTTTTTTTTATTTTTTAGCGACTTTTTAATTCATTTTTAGCCGTCAGAATTCATCTTGTACATTTGTTTATAAACCTACCATTCGTTCATGCATTCAATATTTCAGTCCTTTTTGTCATATTTTTGTTTGATTGTTTATTTTTTTTAATTTCCTGGTTTATCCAGGCTATCTTTTGGTCTGGTGCTCCGGCTATATAGAAAAAAGCAAACAGCCCCTAAGAAAAAGGAGAAAGTCCAAAGAGCTGATCTGTGATATTATCGATCCTGACCTGGCATCTCGACTTCAATCATTTTCCCACTGCCGTGACGTAGCTTCCCTTTGTTTTTCTATAACTATTTCCATGATGCCAAACCCCGGTTGTTCTAATGAGAATGGTGACCGTTTTCGTGGTGGACAAGAAAACCAAAAAGATTTCCTCCCTGATATCTTTTTGTCCCTGACTGCACGAATTTACGCAGATTGGGCCAATTAGGTCTCACTAGAACTGAGTATGAGGGCTGCAGGTGTCCTGGCAGTTTTGAGGTTCTCCTCAAATTTCCGGGAGATAGTTTTTATTTTCTCCGTACTTCTCATGCTTGATCAAGAGGCAAGTCCGTCCCCAACTGGACCTCTCTTCCGACCGACTTTCTGGCTTCCTCCTCCCACCTATAATATTCAAAAAATTCAAATGGGTCTGAGGCAACCTCGGTTGGGTCCTCAATCGCCATGCCACTTCTATCTTCCCAGCATGGATTATGTTCCCCATTTATAGTGCCTTCTCCAAGTTCAAAAGATACTTGACATAAAGAAACTAATCTCATTCTCTTCGACTCCCAGGTAACCACTTGAGTCTTAGTGTGATTTTCACATCTCATCAGGCGTTAGTAAATGACTGGTTAGTAGAACAATTTATCGAAATTTATGATGAAATGTGTTACTAGACATAGAAATGTGGCTGCATTTATGTAGCGTCTATTCGCATGTTGATGTAATATCGTTCATTCGATTCGTTCTCATTTTGTCTCAGGACGATACCGTCGAAAATGAGATGGCATCACACCCCAGCCACATCCTGACAACAATCGGCTTCATTAGCAAGTTTGAATGCCCGGGGCCTGAGGTCCGAGTGCAGGGTGAGGCTGTGACCTGTGTGTGAGACCCGGTCGTGGAGGACATACTGTCTGGGGTTCGCCCCTTTATTCAGCATGTTTGTTGTTCGAGGGGTGTCTCTTGGCTAGTTAGCAGGTCTTTGAAGTGTACCCTTGTTCGCAGATATTTGTAGAAAACCATAAAGGAAAGAACACGTTAGGGGTTAAATCCAATCTTTGTTTCGGCAGATCGCGCTGTTCTTGAAAATTCTCTTAACGGCATATAATGGTGGGCACAAAAGTAATCTTTCGCTGGGTTTGACTGACCAGACGATGTACGCACATGAATGCCACCATTCGCTTTTTAATGGATGTCCCCACCCTATTGACCTCTTGAACTGTTCCGATCAGGTGACCAGCTGATATGAGGGAATGGATAAAAATTATCTCTTCGTTTGACCCGGCTCAATTACCGGCGTTAAAATGGTCGATCCATGGTAATTAATTAATTTTGCGAATGAACCTGCTTATAAAGATGCGTAAATTTCAAGATTGGTTATTCCTAAATTTTTTCGCTTGAGGATGAAACAGGGAGGCCGCATGATACTTTAACTCAATTTAATTTTAATAATTATATTGAGGTTTTCAGCTCTCCTTTTTGAAACATGAGAACTCCTATGTAGTGAAGGAATCATATTTTTTGGCGAAAAATAATTAACAGACTATATATAACCTTCATATATATATATATATATTTACATATATATACCATATATATATATATATATATATATATATATATATATATATATATATATATATATATATATATTCGACGTTTCGTTTCCGAGATTAACGAAGTCGTACACAGTCAGCAAAATCAACCGCGATTTGTGGGCTTGCGGTTGGGTGCGTGTGATCTCGCGGTTTCGGGCGATGGAGGCATCCTCAGCTGATCGTTCCGTCAATTTCCGATATAGAGTGTTATTTATATAGTATTACTAGCAGCCCATGGCATCTCGGCGTTGCCCGTGTTTGATTCAAAAATCGACCGAATACGACTCATAAGGGCACTCTTTTTGGAAAGAAGATGTCCGTAAACATTTCCCATCCCTGAGAATCGTTATCCCTTGACTTAAAATATTTTTGCCCTTCCTTGCCTTTAAAGTGTTAGTTAGGGGGCCGTTCCCTTTGCCAGGAGGCTCGCCTGGTTTGGCCTTGCCTGATGTTGCTACACCTGATTCCTTCTCGGTCGGCAAAGACTTTGTTCAGCAGGCTGCCTCCAAACTGTCGTCGTTGCACACTGCGAAGTTTTTTCGAAGGCCTCTATACTAAACATTAAATCTGTTATGTGAATAAAGAACTAAACAAAATGAACACAAAACGATCAGCTTTAAAAAGGACTCAGTAACTGGGTGGGTGAAACCAAATGAAAGAAGAATGTTAACAACAAATATTGTCCTTTGGTTCCCACCCAATTAGTAGGTTAGACTAGGTTTTTTGTTTTATTTAGTTTTTCTCCTTTCAAAATCTCTCATTTCCTTTTTAGAGGTTTAATTCCCCATCCCCTCCCTTGTTGGTGGTTAGTGAAACCTGACGCATCCCTCTTGAAGATGAACTTGTGTCTACAAAGAAAGACTTTAAATTAGTTTTGGCATGTCAATTTGTAAATACACATTTGGGGTTTTTTAAAAATTTTGTTATTTTATGACCCTCCCCATGAACAATATTTGTATATATGGGGACTAGGGGTAGACGTCATAGAGAAACTGAGGAGAGAGGAGTGAATGTGATGTTTTGGTGACTTTGTTGGCATGTTTGGGTCTGTTTGTGCTAGTTTTATAAAGACTACCGTCATTCCCAGGCGATTTCTGTACCTACTTACCAACCTAATAAACCCCCTTTTTATTGTTACGTGTTATTTGGCGTTTGTCTTTACTAACCCCAAATCAACCATCATAGCAAGAGGCCTTACTGCCGAATGTAGTTTATTGTAACTTTTTATTTGAAGTAGAGTGGGAGGTCAATATTTTTGATTATGCCATTATTTTCTCTTCGAGTTCCATGTGATAACCATTTTATCTGTTACTGTTGATGACTGTTCTTAAGGGATGTGCTTTCTGTTAGTTGGTACAGTTCTTTAATTGTGACTCTATAGCACCAGTCCACAAGGTTCGAAGAAGGATGGTTTTGGCTAAGTTTCACTCGCTATATAAATCTTTAAATGTAAACATCGAATTTAATTTTATCATAAAAGCGATTAATTTTCTAGTAAGCTAGAACATATATAGGCTATACATACTTAGATGAACCTATATATATTTTATTGTGCGTGCGTCTGTCCGTGTGTGAAACTAAATGCCAAAAGGAAAAATAAGAATTTTTTTTAAAACTAATCTTTCCTATTACAATACAAATCAACGTAATCCCTACAAAAAAAGAAGCGTCAAGAAGCTTTTCATCAAACTCAACTGGACGTCCGGTTCGATCTTCATCTTCAAGGATGAAATCTCCACCTCTGAATTTTGCAAACCATCTTCTGCAAGTTCTTTCATTCACACATTCCTCTCCATAAACTGAGTGAATGTTTCTAGCCGCTTCGGCTGCTGAGTTTCCTTTCTTGAACTCATAAAGCATTATGTGCCTCAAATGATTTTTGGGTACTTCCATGTTAGCAGGGTTTTAATCAAACAAAATTTAATTTTATTGTTCTCTGAAATAAAATTTGATCAGTTTAAATGCATCTAAACATAAAAATAATGTTCAGCTCCATTAGACATTATAAAATACACTTTAAATTTCGTTCATTTTAAAAAAAAGGTAAAATTCTGACAGAACTTATGGGATGATCTGATAAATATAAACGCTATATAAATTTACTATTTTTTATCCATAATGTTGAATGTTAGAATTATTCAACTTTTTAACTAGAGAAATCCCAAGTTGATATCAAAAATTGCCGCAAAACATTGTTGATTTATTTAAGATGGAATGATCTAGTATGACATGTCTCTAATTTGTATTTAGACAGATTGTATTTATTTTCAATTTTTCTAGTTGAATTGTTCACCTAAATTGTGTACAATACTTTATTGTACATTTTTTATTTTTACAATAAAATTTCTATTTTGTATGAATACTACCTTATGAAAATTGAAATATTGAGATGTAGTAGAATGAGCAAAGCCATATAATAATTTCGAGTGGGAGGTTACAAGATCCTTGCACCGGTTTACGTAAGAATATAAAAAGAGAATAAAAAAATGAATAAAAAAAACTATCAACTCAGGTCTCGTTTGCACGAGACTCAAAAAAGTCGGCATAGATCTAATTTATACGAGACTCGAAAAACTGGATAGACGGTAAACAGGTTACATTTTTTTTTTTTTTTTGGTGGAATAGAAGGGTTACTCCTCTTCACGGGAATGCATTCGGGGTATTCTTAAACCGAACAGATAAAGCGATTAATATAGTTTTAAATAGGATAATCGGTAAGGGAAAGATAAGTTTAGGATTAAGAAAAAAAACATCGTCATACGGCATCGAGTAAGTGGTATGAACCAACTGTGTTACGTAATGTTAAGTTTTATCTCATTTATAAACAAGGCCATATCATGTTGAAACACCGCTTATTCATTTATACCACTGGAAAAGGTATGTCTACCTCTTCTCCTCCCAGCTATGGGCTAAATAGTAAGACTTGTATCACTAAAATACTATTATCTAAAAAAAAAAAACAATGACAATCCAAAAATGTTTTCTTGTTTTAAATAATCTGCAAAGGGTTGATAAGCCGTAAAAAAAACGAATCAATTAATCATTTATAAACATTCGAAGATATTCTTGTTTCCAGAAGAGAATTTCCCAAGTTATGACTTTTCACTGCCAACCTGGGATCATGGAATTGATCATGGAATTAAATGAAACAGATTTGGCTTGAATAAAATAACAACCATTTTAAAAGGTTACCTAGCTTAACACTATAGATCTCTTTTTCAAATATATTTCGTAATAAGTATCGTAAGGGACTCGAAGCAACAGAAATGTGGTTCTACAGAAGGATGCTGAGGATATCACGGGCCAAACGTGAGGTTTTGGAGAGAATGGAAACAAAGAGGAAACTTATACTTAACATCAGGAAGAGGCAGATGAAATTTATGGGACATGTAATAAGAAAGAAGGGCTTGGAAAATCTGATACTCACAAGGCGGATAGCGGGAAAGAGGGACAAAGGAAAGCAACGTATGACATACTTAATGGGCTTGAGCAAGTGGATTGCGAGAAATAACAAAAAGACAAAAGTTATTAAGAGCTTCAAGGCACAGGAGGAGATGGAGAGCCATGATCGCTTACGTCCTGAAGGGACACGTCACATAAGAAAATTAAATTGCCGACATAAATAATGATTAAAAAAATATATCGTCCCCAAAATAACTGTAGACTTTGGCTAATAAACTGCGTTTATGATAAGAAACTTATCATCATATCACGAGTCTCCTCATCTATTATATTGAAGAGGTAAGTTAGCCTGACGGAGCCCATCCCTCTTTTGACTGGTTTCAAATTAATAGTTTTTCTTCTACTAGACTAGTTGACATTCAAGGTTATAGAGCCTAAAGA